CCCAGGTGGGTCTCGAACCCACGGGCTCAGGCAATCCACTCCCTCAGCCTCCCAAAGGCGTGGGATTACAGGCTGAGCCACCAAGCCCGGCTCAGACAGCACTTTGGAGGCCAAGGTTGGAGGACTACTTGAGCCCAGGAGTTTGAGATCAGCCTGGGCAACATAGCAAGACCTCATCTCTAAAAAAATTTTAAAAAAAGCATGAGCTGGGTGTGGTTGTACATGCCTGTAGTCCCAGCAACTCGGGAGGCTGAGAAGGAAGGACGGCCTAAGCCCAGGAGGTTGAGGCTGTGGTGAGTTGTGACTATGCCACTGCACTCCAGCCTGAGCAACAGAGTGAGACCCTGACTCAAAAATCAAAACCAGAAAACCAAGAGGACAGGACCCTAAGCCTCTTCAGCAATCAGGAAGCCCCGAGATGAGCTGCAGCATGAGAGGGACATGACTGAGCCCCCGAGCCAGTGGAGGAACACGGCCCACTCGCTGCCCAGTGACAAGGAAGCAAGGAGAAACCCAGGAAAGGCAGCTGATGGCTGCAACTATGCTCACGGGCTCTGCACCACCACGCCCTCGACTGGCAGTTTTCATAACCACGTGAGCAGAGCCATCCTGCCGTCTGCCACGGTAAACTGTATATCCGATGACTTTCCTCTCCTGCCAAAACAAATCAAGCTTTTCGCAGAACTTCACGGATACAAATGCCTCAAACCCCACTGAGGTGGGTTTTTATCAAAGAAAAAACGAAGGTGGGTACAATGAGGGTGGGCCCACGAAATGCACCATCTGGCCACCAGGTGGCACCAGCGGTTGATGAAAGTTCACTAATGTGGGCTCATCACGGCTGCCAGACTGGCATCAGAGCTCTGGCCGGAGCACACCACACGCAGCCTCTTGGGAGACGCCTCAGCGGTGAGGCCCAGGATGGAGGACAAGGACCCAACTACCCGGTCTCTAGAGAGAGGGCTGGGTGTTCTGCAGGAGGGTTCCTGGTGAGCCTAGCCACCTCCTGGCCACCTTGTCCACGAATAACCCACTCACTGCAGAAACGAGCGATACGACAAGCCAGTCATCGTGGGCACCTGGGCTCTGCACTTGATGCCCGGGCAGACTCCTGGCCTGGGCACCGAGAAGCAGGCGGGCGTTCTAGAGCCAGAGCTGGCCATGAGAGGCGCCCGGCTCCACACACGCTCCTCTTTCCCCCGTGAACACACAGTGGACCCACACCCACACAGACTCACAGGAAGAGGAAACCAGCCTGGCCGACGGCCTGTGTACAGCTGTGGCTACCAAGTTCAAACAGTGAAAGTGGTGACCTCAAATGAGCTTGCTTTGCGAATCCAAGTACTGACCCTTCCTTGCAAAGTGACTGAATGCCAACAACAAAGATCGCCCGGCACATCAGCAGACACATGGACACCGCAGGGTCGCCTGGTGGTAGGGCAAAAACTGCTGGGAATTGGAAGACAGAGATCTTCAGCCTGCCTGGTCTGGCCCTTCTAGCTGGGCACAGCACGTGGCCACTACGGTAGTGTAAAGAGGCCAGACCAGGCCGAAAAGTTGCAATGGCTCTTATCAAAAACATCATGAGACATACCTGTTGCACACTAAGATGTACTATGGGAAATTTGGAAAATTAAATAATGAAGAAACCTCAAACCATGAACAGCATCTCTCT